TTTGGAGATTGATACAAATGAAATGATACATTATCTTGAATTTGCTTCAAAATAATATGGAGTGGGGATTGTCAGCAGAAACACAGATAAACCAAAAAGATGACTCTTTACCTTTTGGAGATTGATACAAATGAAATGATACATTGTCTTGAATTTGCTTCAAAATAATATGGAGTGGGGATTGTCGGCAGAAACACAGATAAACCAAGACTAGCCAAACTTTGAAGCTAGGTCTGTGTAAGCAGGGATTCACTACCTCTATTTTTGGATCTATTTGAAATTTTCCAAAATAAAAACCCAAAATTAAATTCCAATTAGATCTAAATATGAAACATAAAATAAAATTTCTTCACGATTAAAAAAGTTACATAAGCTGTCTATACTCTTCCTTTTTTTCTTAAAGGAGATATTAAATAAACATTGGAAATAAGAAAATAACACAAGGGCACAGAAAAAGGGTCAACTATGGAGCCATACTGTAAAACCTAGGAGTATTAGTTAGAGGTACTTAAAATTAAAAAAGCCAAATACTTTTAGTGGATGTATCAGTAAACAGATGAAAAACTACTTAAAAACACTAGGGCATAGGAAAATATAAGAGGTAGCTAAGAGCTTTTAAAAAGCACCTTAGCAATAGTACTAACTAGACTAAAGTACAGAAAAATCACTCCTAAGATACGCTTGCAAAAGAGAAAACTCATCTTTTTTTGGAATTAAATTCTTAGTATTTACTTGTGTCCAGTTACTAGAAGAGAGGAAGAAAGGATAATGAATTTACTGTTTCAGCAATAACAACTGGTTTAAAGAAAAGTTGATATGGTGAGACTAGAAAGCGGAAAACACCTTTGTTTTCAAGTTCTAAGAAGCAAACTGAACAGAGATTTACTGGTAAGACAGGGAAATTAGGGGGAACACATCTGAGGACTGAAAGGGAAAACCAATGATAAGTTCAAGTTGTAGCATATCTGTAGTGGCAAATTTTTTTAAAGACAGGTATTGTATTTTTCAAGTCCAGAAAATACAGTACTATTCCAATAAATAACAAATGTATTATCTGGTGAAATAACTGAATGAAATATTTTCTATTAAAAGGGAAGGGTTCTCCTTCTGGGGTCAGCTAGACTAGAATAGAAATCTGCACAATTCTATTATGTTATGCAAACATTTAGAAGTTAAAAACATGCAAATACACCAACAAAAATCATCTTAAAGGGAAAAAAATGCAAGCTATGCTTAAGAGAATAACTTAAAATGGACAATCTATAGAAACTGATAGCGCTGTTTGAATCACTATCTTAAAAAGAATAAGGGCCACTGATGAAATAGATTTACCATTAATATTACTCCTTGCATGAAAGAGAAGGATTAGCTGGCCTTGAACAGTAAGTAGTAGTAAGTGGTTTGATTCACCACTACCAGGTTACCTTCACTGCATTTCCAAAATTTGAAGAAGACAACAGAACTGCAGCAACTTTCAGTTTATACCAAAAATGGGATAACAAAATAAAAAAGTGCTCAATTTTATTTCAGCATCACATGAAGGGAGGCAGGTCAAAGGATGACAATGGTCAAGCTAGTCCCAGTCAGTGGGAGTGGTGCCACTTATCCTTTCCTGCCACAGCTCCCTTTAATGCAACTTGAGTACATGTGGGAGGAAACTGGCACTCCAAGCTCTGGTGAGCTTTTGGTTTTATCTGCCTTTCCTCAGTTCCACAATGTCCTGAAAAACAGAGGCATTTAATACCACGAGCAGGTTCAAAACTTGTGAAAAGTATCTCCCTAACCCTCCGTGAAAGTTTTCAAAATCTCAAAAGTCAATATTTAAAATATATCATCACACTTAAGAACTGCCATCATACTGGATCTAACAGTGCTTCAGAGGACACAAGAGCACATTTTTCCTTCTGAAGTAAACTTCATTGGGTAGGGATATATACTAAATAAAAGTCCTAATTTTCCAGAGTCATGGATTGCACTTATTTATTGCATAAGGCAATTAAATATAACATTTATTGATTGTCACATAAAAAAATTGTCTTTTCAGCTGCAACTGTCTCTGGTGGATAATGACTTTCTAAAATTTATCTGCTGTTAAGAAATACTTATTCCATTTTTCCTCCCGACAGAAATTTATATCTCCAAAATGCCAACAAGGCTGGAAAGTCATTCTAGTACAATCCCATCATTTTAAAGAAAAGGAATCCAAGCTCTGGAGAGTCATTATTCTGCCTCAAATTATACATATGGCTAATTTAAAAAGCAGTATCAGAATGTGAACCCAGGTCTCCCCAAACCTCTAGCCAGTGCTATATCATATAAGACCTCATTTCTATTCAACACAGCTCTCAGAGCAGTCCTTTATCACTTTATTGTGTCCTCTTTTGCAAGTTTCCTCATCACCTTATCCCCTTGATAACCTGAATAGCTGTTCTATGGATCTGTTTCACTTCCATTATGGCAATTTAAGATGAACAGTCTAAATGGGCATAATGCCACAGGTACTGGTTTTGTAAAATGTTTGTATTTGGGGTGGAAGAACTAATTTCTTTTCTGTCAGTGAAAGATGAAAATTAAGTACTCATCAGTAAAATAACCTCATGTTCTAATCCTAACATGTGTCAGACACCACTTAAAGTTTTAAAAAAAGTCCTTGGTGGCAACATTCTTACATGTTCTTGAGTAACTTGGTTTAAGTTTCCATTCTTTTTAAAATTTTTTAAGATACTTATTTATTTGGCTGCAGGTAGTCTCAGTTGCTGCATGTGGGATCTAGTTCTCTGACCAGGGATGGAACCCAGCTGGGTTCCATCCCAGTACAGCTGGGCCCCCTGTACTGAAGCCCCAAGTCTTTTGTCACTGGACCACCAGGGAAATCCCCAGGTTTCCATTCTATTTCCGTGGTGAAAAGGAAGACTGAAGTTATTTTTCAACAGCAGTTCTTCCATTAGATTGACTTGATAGCTACTTATGTGACAAATTTAATCTGAGGTACTTGAAACTTAGTAACAAAGTTGAGAAAAACAACATGAAAAGAACAAGAGCAAGAATATTGATTTGATTTGTCTCCTGAAAAAGTGCACCTTGTCTTCAAATTTTTGAGTACCACAAATTTAGTCCCCTAAGGTAAGAAGGTGCTTTTTTAGTGATTTTTCTTCCACCGACCTCTGGTTAAGAAATAGTTTTGTAGAGATTTTTGGATCTTCAGAGACATAAGCTGGTATCCTTTACACCATATATTAAAAAACAACCAATAAACTTGGATTAAAAAAAAAAAAAATGATTTTATTTTTACCTTTGGAAAGCAAAGGATATATAAATAGCAAAACAAAACCAAAATAAAGGACTGCGGACTTAATGGTCAAATAAATGGTTGACAAAGCAAAACCACCAAATCACTTTTCAAACATGGAGCTTTTCTCTTAATGAATTTTAATACTACTCTTGTAGAACATGTGCTATAATTATCAAAAGCATACTGATCTAAACTTATTGCATTATGGCCTTTATATGCTATTTAAGTCCTTCGCCCTTAATTCTCACAACATTCTAAGGTAAATATCCATCACTATTTTCATATTTCACCTGAGAAAACTGGGACACTTCAAGGTTAAGTAATTTGCCAAGGTTACAGAGCTTGAATCCAGCTCTGCAGGTTCAGAAATCTGTGCTCCTTAGGCACTCTACTGCATGCTCGGTAGCACAGAAAACTTGAAAAATACAGTCAAACTCTATCTGATGCATTATCCAAGCCACTGAATTTTTTCTTATTGAAGTATAATTGATTTATAATATTAGTTTCAGGTGTACAAACAGTAATTTGATAATTTAACAGATTGTACTGTTTAAAGTTATTATAAAATGGTAGCTGTATTTCCTATGCTGTACATTATATGCTTGGATCTAATTTATTTTATCCATAGAAGTTTACAATAAGTTATTTTTTGGGGGGTCAAGAAAGCCAAGAATTTGCCATCCTCACTTCCTGATTTTAGGATGAGTGGCACAAATGAGCTGTTTTTGCCATTACACTTATTACATTATCACTAAAACCTGAAAAGAAGGGGACTAGTTAAATTCTTAAACTTTACTTCCTGCTGTCCGAGAAGACCTTACTTAACCACTGTTATAATCTATATGATACACGCAATGTAAGTGTTAAGGTTTCCCTAGGGTAGTAAGATACTAAAGTGATCACTTAAAGAATATCAGCTATGCATTACTCATTTTACCTGTCAGTGTACTTACAAGTAGATCAACAGGATATAAACCTGGGCTGTTACCTTCTTTAGGAGACATTTCTTGTTAATTCATTGATTAATTAAACCAAATGGAACAAACGGCCCTCCAAAAATGAAATGTAGTGAAAAAGGAAAGGAATCACAGTAAGTTACACGGTGATCTACTCTCACTAGTGTTAGAAAAGCAAAGGAGAGAGTCTGAGTAACTTCAGTCTGACCACAATGGCCACTTGTTACACCTACCACCCACTACAATACCTCAGGCTCATTAGGAATTAAAAGAAGCTCAGCTAGGTAAAGGACACATCCCAACCAGGCCTAAGGTCTCTACAACACAGGCTGAGGAGCACAGGGAGCCACTGAAATAAGTTCCCCCACCCTCAAGCTTTCACTGCTGCCCAGGAAGCAAAAACCAAAAGCCAGGGGCCAAGACAGTTCTCCGGCCAGGGCAGTGACCCTGCTCGAGACAACCCTGCCTCCGCCCCCGATCAAAGTGTCCGCGCCTAGAGGGGTGGGGTAGTTGCAGGGTGAGGAAGGCCTGGATAGGAGATAAGGAGACTAAGATGTTTCGACAGAGAAAAGGTCCCTTCGATTGGCGGATCGAGACGCGGCCCCGAACAAGAAGAGAGTCGCCCGCCGCCATGATAGGGCCGGCCCATCTGGGGGGCGTGACGCGGACGGCCCCGAGCGCAGAACCGGCTCCCCTTTCCCCCCGCCCCTCCCCCGCGTGGGCCTCGGTCACAACTGCCCCCCAATACTCACGCTTTGTCCACCAGCTCCCGCACCTTCCACATGTTCAACATCTTGCCCGAGCGGGCCGGGCTTCTACCTCCCTCTCCTGTACCCCACGGACTCCAGAACACTTCCGCGCCGGGGCAGATCCAGGCCGGGGTCGCTGCCGCCGCCGCCGCCACCCGCCACCTCAAACTCCCCCAGTCAGCTCCTTCTCTTGCCACAGCCGCGGCGCCGCCAGTGACACGTCGAGACGCCGGGGCAGAGGCGCTGCGTGGAGCGGAAGTGCCTGACTTTCCGCCCGCTGCGCGCGGGGCACGCTGGGACTTGTAGTTCTCTCTGCGCCAAATTAGGCTGAAAGTTTCAGAGGTAAGGTAAAGTTAGGACTCTTCGGTAAAAGAGCTCTCCGGATTCTCCGCACCGCTACGCAGTAGTCATTATGAATGTGAAAGTTGGGCCATAAGGAAAGCTGAGAGACGAAGAATGATCCTTTTGAACTGTGGTGTTGGAGAAGACCCTTGAGATTCCCTTGGACTGCAAGGAGATCCAACTAGTCCATCCTAAAGGAGATTAGTTCTGAATGTTCATTGGAAGGACTGATGCTGAAACTGAAATTACAATACTTTGGCCACCTGATGCGAAGAACTGACTCATTAGAAAAGACCCTGATGCTGGGAAAGATTGAAGACGGGAGGAGAAGGGGACAACAGAGGATGAGACGGTTGGGTGGCGTCACCAACTCGATAGACATGAGTTTGCACAAGCTCCAGGAGTTGGTGAAGTACAGGGAAGCATGGTGTGCTGTAGTCGATGACGTCGCAAAGAGTCGGACACGACTGAGTGGCTGAGCAAGAACAACAACAGTGGACAGAGGACCCTGCCAGGCTGCAGTCCGTAGGATCTCAGAGTCGGAAACGACTGAAGTGGCAGCATGCACATGATGACTGTAAGAAGTCTAATTGGCATATGTACTCCTCATTGACAGAAGTAATTCTGTATTTGGTTCCAATGTCCAAATACACTTCCTTCCCTGTGCTTTAGTTTCCATCCTTGTAAATTGAAAAGGTTGTATCTTAAAACCTATTCCATTTTAATCCTACCATACAGTGCTCTTGTATTTAGACAGATACTTGATATCCTTGTTAGATACTTACTGTAAAGTTCAGAACCTCAGTTCACATTCCATGGGAAATTGTAGAAAAACAACACTACAACATTACAATGGGCCCAAGAACCTGACAGGTGTATATTCCCAAAGTGTAGATATACACCTACACTGCATTCATCGTTTTATTGCAATGATTATTGTCACTTTATTTTTCACTTACTCATTTTTTGACAATGTTCATGTTAGAGCCACAAACACTCTTAAAGTTCATTTAGTCAAACTGCTTAAATTTTACAGTTCTTTACATTCTACAAATTTTTATTGAACATTTTCTACGTGCCAGGAGTGGGGAGAAGGAGAAGGGGACGACAGAGGATGAGATGGTTGGATGGTATCACCAACTCAATGGACATGAGTTTGAGTAAATGCAGTGAGTTGATGATGGACAGGGAGGCCTGGTGAGCTACAGTCCATGGGGTCGCAAAGAGTTGGACACAACTGAGTGACTGAACTGAACTGAACTGAAGGAGTGGGGGAACACAGCTGGGAAGAAGACAGGCAAGGCCTCAGCTCTCTTGGATCTTAAAGGTCTTTGGAGGAAAACATAGTAATCAAGGGAACATTTAAGATAATTGCTGATGGAAAGTGCTTGAAGAAAACAGAAGATAATGTTATAGAAAATGATGTTAGAGGAAAATAGAATATTTAGGGCCTCTTTGAGGACATTTTTTTTTAGGGAGGAGGTAGGATCTTAGTTCCCCCACCTGGGATTGAACCCACCCCCCTGCAGTGGATGCATGGGAAGTCCCCTGAGGACATTTTATTTAAGCTGAAACTTGAATGATAAAAAGGAAATGGCAAAAAAATATATTTTTTTAATCTGCAAGAAAAGAAGTTCTGTTGACTGATTCACAAAGGAGATGTGAAATTGATTGATGCTAGTCATGAAGCTAGGTAAAAATGATCCCAAATCAAGAATCTAGAGCACCTGACTCCTTAGTTCTTCAGGTCAAATCAGTTCCTCATACTGCATCCACTACATAACTGGAAGGAGCTCTGGAAGATTTCCTGAGAAATCTTTATACAGGTTCAAAAGCAACAGTTAGAGCTGGACATGCAACAACAGACTGGTTCCAAATCAGGAAAGGAGTATGCCAAGACTGTATATTGCCACCCTACTTATTTAACTTATATACAGGATACATCATGTGAAATGCTGGGCTGGATGAAGCACAAGCTNCCTGATGCTGGGAAAGATTGAGGGCAGGAGGAGAAGGGGACGACAGAGGATGAGATGGCTGGATGGCATCACCGACTTGATGGACATGGGTTTGGGTGGACTCAGGGAGTTGGTGATGGACAGGGAGGCCTGGCATGCTGTGGTTCATGGGGTTGCAAAGAGTCAGACACGACTGAGCAACTGAACTGAACTGAACTGAAGATCATGGCATCTGGTCCCATCACTTCATGGCAAATAGATGGGGAAACAGTGGAAACAGGGACAGACTTTATATTTTGGGGTTCCAAAATCACTGCAGGTGGTAACTACAGCCATGAAATTAAAAGATGCTTATTCCTTAGAAGAAAAGCTATGACCAACGTAGAAGCATATTAAAAAGCAGAGACATTACTTTGCCAAAAAAGGTTCGTCTAGTCAAAGCTATGGTTTTCCCGTAGTCATGTATGGATGTGAGAGTTGGACCATAAAGAAAGCTGAGCACTGAAAAACTGATGCTTTTGAAATGTGGTGCTGGAGAAGACTCTTGAAGAGTCCCTTGGACTGCAAGGAGATCCAACCAGTCCATCCTAAAGGAAATCAGTCCTGAATGTTCATTGGAAGGGCTGATGTTGAAGCTCAAACTCCAACACTTTGGCCAGCTGATGCAAAGAACTGACTCATTGGAAAAGACCCTGATGCTGGGAAAGATTGAAAGTGGGAGGAGAAGGGGAAGGCAGAGGATGAGATGGTTGGATGACATCACCGACTTGATGGACATGAGTTTGAGCAAGCTCTGGGAGTTGGTGATGGACAGGGAAGCCTGACATGCTGCAGTCCATGGGGTCGCAAAGAGTCGGGCAGGAGTGACTGAACTGACTGACTGAGCGCTAGAAGAGCTTTCAGTAAGACTGCAGGATTTCACCAAGACAAGTGGAAAGAATTGCCAGGCAAAAAAATATAAAAAGCAGAAATCAGGTCAAAACTGTCTGAGAGCTTTGTCAAGATAGGAGTGCTCAGGCCGGCAGAAGTAAAGTGAGTTAAGAGGTGGGTGGGGAGGTGCAGGTAAAGAGACGGGCAGAGAAATAGGGCTTTCAAGTGAGAATTTTGTGTTTCACGTTGAGTGGACTGTCCAGCTCAAGATTCAAAGAGTGGAATGTGGCCAGGGAAGATAAGAAAGAGAAACTGCTTTCCATAAATAAGAGCTCAGCAAGTTAACTTTCAAACAAGCAGGTCCAGGGTACACCAGCAGAAAGAGCCTGGCATGAAAACAACCGCCTTCCCCGCCCTAGGCCTGTTTACACATTCATAGTAATTCATGATCAGCTTCACCAGAGTTACCCAGTGAGTACAATACTGTTACCTGCTTTGCCTGCTCCGATAACAAGTTTGAAAGTGTCTAGACTTATTCCAATGTTGTCACCTGTGGTCTGTTCACAGTTGACCAGTGCCATCTAGAATGTAACACCAGAAAACCTGCCTGTCTACCGTGGATTCAAAAGAGCCTTTAATAGAAGAACCAGACAAGGAGAGTTTGTTAAAAAGTGGTCCGGTCTCCAAAGACTAATCATTTGCATTTTAACAAAGTGTTCCATTTTTACCCTTTATCTTGCAAGTTTGAGAGCAGTTTCCATAGTAACATGGTTGTGGCAATTTAAATGTGTCCACAGTAGAAAAATAAACAAGAAAATGTCCCACCTACTCCTCTTCAGGAAAACATATTTTTTACTAAATGGACTTTTAGTGAGGCCAAACCAGCACAAGGTTTGAAAGCAAATGTACTCAGCAGTGTTACTTCTGTGTGAGGAGCAACTGTAGGTATGCTTATCTCCAATGGCTGGCTCCTTGGCGTGTCCTTCAGAGGAATTTAATTCTTAGTACAGGGCTGCGGCAGCCATGGGAAGGCACCTCCCAGATCTTTCTTCAAGAGAACCCGTTGAGGGGAGTGTGGATGGCCAACAGCTCCAGCAGCCACTTCTGCGTCTTGGGAAGGAGGCACAGCATTTATGCCAAGGCTGTGCTGTCAATGGGCTACTCCCAGGCAATGACTGAGCAAGGTGTTCTGGAGCCAGCCAATGCAAGACTCCTCTGCTGGGCCAACAGTTGCCTTCGGCTCCCCCACCCTCCCCACCCCACCTGGCCCAGATTTCCTCAGTTTTGCTGCAACTGGATGGATTATCTTCCAGCCCAATCTTTCTTCCTTCTCCTTTCTCCCTTAACAGAACTTCTTGTAGCCTGAGACTCTTCCCATGTACTCTTGTTCCTTCTTCCATTTATCCTTTAATAAATCTCTAATCTACACTTCTAATCCCAGGTTGGCTTCTGCTTCTTGCAGTATCCAAACTAAAACAAGAGGCAAAGAGTTATACCTTGGTTTCAGTATTTGACCCAGTGACTGTTGTTTTTGATCACACACAACTGCTCTTCTCTAGAAGTCAAGATACTTGGTTTCTGATATTAATATGAGGGTTGCCACAAGAGCTAGGCAGATTATGTATTGTACAACCCCAGGGCCCCATTTATATGTAGTACTGTGAACTGTCAGTCAGTTAACCACAGAGAGAAAGTAAAAAATAGTGATTCAAGAGTGCAGGTTCTGTACTCAAATAAACCTAGGTCCAAATTCTGTATCTGCTATTCAGTAGCTTGGTCATTCTGGTTAAGTAAATTCGTAAAGCATAGAGGTTGTGAATTAGATCTCTGGAGCCAGATTGCCTGGGTTTGAATCTTAGTTTTGCTACTTACTAGCTGTAAATCGGAGAAGGAAATGGCAACCCACTCCAGTGTTCTTGCCTGGAGAATTCCATGGACCGAGGAGCCTGGCGGGGTACAGTCCATGGGATCGCAAAGANTTCTTGCCTGGAGAATTCCATGGACCGAGGAGCCTGGCGGGGTACAGTCCATGGGGTCGCAAAGAGTCAGATAGGACCAAGCGATTAACACTTTCACTTTTTTTA